AGACGACAGAACAAGACGACTGTTAGGACGACAGAACAAGACGACTGTTAAGACGACAGAACAAGACGACTGTTAGGACGACAGAACAAGACGACAGTTAAGACGACAGAACAAAATGACTGTTAGGACGACAGAACAAGACGACAGTTAGGACGACAGAACAAGACGACAGTTAGGACGACAGAACAAAAGACTGTTAGGACGACAGAACAAGATGACTGTTAGGATGACAGAACAAGACGACAGTTAGGACGACAGAACAAGATGACTGTTAGGATGACAGAACAAGACGACAGTTAGGACGACAGAACAGGAGATAAAACACAAGTGACCATATCAATCAGTTTCTGCTGTTTAAACCTCAAATAGAGAAACCCGCACTGAGTCATCTGATTGATTTTGAAAGTGAAAGTAGCCTAGTTTACTGGTTCACAGATGAAGACAGTAAACATGGAGTAAAAGCATATTTACATCGAGCGCAATGTTATAGGCCTATCAGACTCTATTCAGTAGCATGGAACCTTAAATGGGATATAATGCACCACATTTAATTATTCAAGAATAAAAATGATACTGTGGTAAACTGTACAAAACTAAAAGACAAAAACAAAGATATGGCAGAAATAGGTCTTCACATGACAAGTGACAAAAATCGATTTGAGTGACAAAAATTTATTTGAGTTCACCATTTTTTAAAGAGGGGCTGTAATAAAGAATAGTTGAGGTATTTAAAAAACAAGCATGATTTAACAGCTAAACAAATCCGATTTCACATTCACTGTATGGACAAAATAACCCTGAGTCGTTTTTTCATCAAATACTCTTTTATGTTCCAGAGAAGAAAGCAAGTCATACAGGTTTGTAAATGATGGCCGAATTTTCATTTTTGGGTTAACTGCTTATGTCTCTAATCGTGGCTGGTTAAGTTTCACTTCAGATCTAAATATTTGCCTTTTCTTTTTTTGCAGAAACAGCCATGAGTGCTGATAATGTTGTGCTGCTGTTCATACTGGTTTGGACTTTCACAGCTGTCTGTCAAGCATTTGATGATGATGGTAAGAGAATACATTCTTCTCAGATTCTAAACAATTCACTTTGTCTAAAGATAATTCGTTTCGCAGTATGTGAGTCATGTGGTAGATGAAGAGTTGTAGACTGTGTTTGGAAACCTGTTTGGAAGCAGTCATTATTTTTGCAGTTCTGTTTAATGATGCTAATGTTGCAGAAGTGACACACTTAAACTTTAAAATGATTGAATTTCTTGATGTGTGAAATGACAGAAATGAGTTTTCTTTTGATGTATTAAACTGATTAATACATTGTCATTTTTCAGATTTCTGCAGTGTAAGCTGTGATGATGTGACTGGATCTGTGGGGAAAGAAGTAAATCTCACCTGCAGCGTCTCTCTGCAGCGCACCGAATGCTGCATTCTAGTGTATACATACTATGAGATTAATAAAGACTCAGCTATCTGTATGAAAGAGCTTCCTTACAGCTCCTGTGAACAGAGAAACAGCTTCACATGCAGCTACACTCCAACCACAGCAACGACAGAACAATTCAGATTCTTTGTGCAAACAAGTTGTGGAGTGAAAAGAACACGATTCACTGTGAACGTAACAGGTATAATATTTGTATTTATTATTCGGTAAATCTTTGGACATTTATGTTTAATCTAGTAACAGCGGTTTAAAATCTGTTAACAGAGCCCTTGAAACATGGAACTGATGCTGAATCTCCTGACAAGAAAGGTATTGTATTCTATTATAGTTAATGATTATTGAGCACAAATTCAGGTTACTTCAAAAACACAGAAAGTTGCTATATAGTTGTAATATAACAATATAGCAATAACAAATATTGTTAATACAGGTATTTTTACCATGCTTAAATATAATTATTGATCATTGTTTGTTTATTGTGAAGTCTGTGAGAGAAGTCCAATAGAATAAAATATGCTCAAGGTTGTTTTATGATTCAAACAATGTTAATGGGTAACACTTTAGAATAATGGTCCGTTGTTAACAAGTAACTATGCAGGAAGTAATAGGTAGTATACATTAACACTTAACTTAATACTATTGACTAATAGAGAAGCAAGATTAACTAAGCAGTAAGTAGCAAATTTAGGACAAAGGTAGTTCCTTATTAGATATTTGATAATTATTAAATAAAAATATCCTCATTGAGAACTACTTGTGAACTATGACCAATTAATAAAGAATAACCAATTAATTACTAATCACAACAGTAACGTCTTAAAAGTGAACAATTGGGTTCTTTGTGGAAACTAATTTATGAATATGATATCCCCCAAATAAGTCGGCTACAGGTTGAAATTGTGACTACTACTCTTACCAAAGGATGGATGTTCAAACTTAATACATTTTAATAAGGATTCTTACCAAAGGATGGATGTTCTCTGTTTATTTCAAACAAAAA